AAAAAACTATCTCGAAATACAATCATCAAATGCTGACGTGGCATTTTATACCCGCTGCAGCGCCTCACATGGGAGGACTGTGGGAAGCGGGCGTAAAGAGCTTCAAAAGCTACTTTAGAAAAATGGCGTCCTCCCACAAATACACCTTTGAAGAGCTTAGTACTCTTTTATGCCGTATTGAGGCGTGCCTCAATTCACGGCCACTGAGTCCCTCTTCAAATAACCCTACTGACCTGGAGCCGCTTACTCCAGGCCATTTTCTCATCGGTGGACATCTTCTAGCCCCACCAGAATTAGACGTTAATGAAACTCCTGCCTCCATAGTGAATCGGTGGCAAAAACTCAAAGCACTGAATCAAACTTTCTGTAGGCGATGGAAAACAGAGTACCTAACCGAACTTCAAAAACGCATTAAGTGGAAGCATCCCAAAGAAAATATCAAACCTGGTGATCTGGTCGTCATCAAGGAAGACAACTTAACCCCCACTGAGTGGAGGTTAGGACGAGTTGTCAACGTACACCCTGGTGCCGACAGCAGAGTACGAGTAGTGGACATCTCGACGGAGAAAGGTCAAGTCACAAGACCACTGGTGAAGTTGGTTCTACTCCCGCCATACAACGATGGAAACTCGGAGCCAACAACCGCCTCATAAATTACCCCTCACCACTTTACTACATTCCACTTCCTTTTACCACAACATACCACTTCTAGGTAGTAGGAGGGATTCCATGTCTAACCTTTTTTGAGATAACTTGTTTTTAGTACCATGGAGTATATTTTGAGTTTTTTTTTTGTATTTGGCGTGATGGTTCTTACCCGAGTTACCCCGGGTTGATCTGGCTATACAAAAACGACCATCCTCAGATCTGAATCCATAATTAAAATAACTGCAGAAGTAGCGAACTACTCCGCCTCAGAATAAAAGCAAACAGTAGAAAACTAGCAAGTTTAAACCGATATGTTTTTTTTGTTTCAAAATCTTCAACCTCTCAAGCTTGCTGGTTTTCTATCCGCTTTATTTGGAAGAGATTGCATAAACTGTGTAGGCAGTTTATAGTGTAAGACCCGCCCGAAAGGAACAATTTAAAATAATACAAAAAAAATATTTAAAAACTCACATATCTTCGGCTCCAAAAGGGTTCGGTTCGGTGACAATCAGCTTCTTTTTGTTTGTGTTTTGTTGTTCGTAATCGCACGATACGCAGCATGTCGTTATGCCAGCAATCCCTGATAAAAAACAAAAACCAATTAGGCCTCGAATAAACGGTTAACAACAAAAAGTAGGTATTGAATAACTCACTATGGCGTTGCTTAGTCAATCAATGAAAAGGCAGCAATTTGGAAAATCTGTTTACCCAGAAAAGCCAGCAAATTAATCGGGTACTTACTTCGATTAAGTCCCTCGATGTTGGTGTTATTTGCCGCCGATCGGATTAGAAGCTGCAATAACAGTACATCGTGCTTGTAGAGACGTCACAATACCAGCTTTTGATATGGAAATCGATTGCTGCTCCATGGCCTCGTGAATCCGATCCTGATCGTTCATTTTGTCAAACTCATCAATAAGACATACACCTTGATCCGCCAGTACCAGGGCGCCTGCCTCTAAAGTCCATTCACGCGATATTGGATTTCGACGAACATAAGCAGTCAAGCCTACAGCACTGGCCCCTTGTCCGGTCGTGAAAACTGCACGTGGCGCTATTTTTTCCGTGTACTTAAGAAACTGAGATTTTGCCGTTCCTGGGTCGCCGCATATAAGTAAGTTTATGTCGCCTCTAACTTTGTGTTTATCACCGGGGTTTTTAGACTCTCCACCAAATAGAGCCAGCGCAAGTGCGCGTTTAATATAGTCGTGGCCATATATGGATGGGGCCATTGAAGCTATTATTCTTTCTGCAATCCGAGGATCTTTACTCAACTTCTGAATGGTAGCGATGTCTTCGTCCGTAAGCGATTGTACTACTTGTTTGCTGTCCTTCACAACGATATGATTCGCAATAATGACGGTGGCGAAAACCGGAAACCCTTGCTCAGTGTTTAGCGAACCATCAGAGTTGTTTGTGTAAATACCAGTAACTTCTAACTCATCACCCGGCTTGCATAAGTCACAAAGATCCGCTAAAAGAATTACGTCCTTACTACGCGGAATCCGACCAGCGGGAATGCGACCAGGAGATTCCTGTAAGGTAATCTTCTGGTAATTCCGATATAATGGATGTTCCATATTAATCGAAAAGGGGCCGGCACTTTGACACTCAGGACAGGAGCCAGGTTTAACTTCTGTATTCTGTGACTGTACAAAGGGCCCCAAAACGTAGCCACACTTCACACAATCGTATTTGATGACTGAAAGTTGAGGTAACACACCCGTTGTAGCTGTTACCACGCCCAAAGTACGCACCAGCTGGTTCAGATGGAGTTTCCGGAAAGTCCGTAACTCTTCTATAAGAGGCAATTCTGATATACGAACATGAATTTCTGTTGTAACACGTTCATATGTTGGAAATATTGATAAGACCATGTCTTTAGCCACCTTGTCGAAGATTTCTAGCATTTGAAAAGGTGCTTCAGGTAGGAAGTACGCAAGTACATGCTCTTTATTTGCCAAATCCGTGTAGGATACAACAAATGAAGATTTATTCTGTTCGCACATGCGTCGAATACGGTCCCGGTATGTGTACATACCACGTTCATCAACAAAGGTGCAGCATTGAAAATCGGCCAAATACTAAGTATACAGGATTCTAAGGTGGTGTCACCGCAGCTGGCTAAAGCTTTTGAACGTGTACGCCAGGCGGCCGACTATATGCCCGATTGGCAAGTAGAGCGCGTAATGATCACACAATTGGGCGCCGATTGGCGTAATCTTTTGGAAAGTTTCGATGAGAAACCATTTGCGGCGGCTTCCATTGGGCAGGTACATCGCGCTACATTGAAAGATGGCATGCATGTGGCTATAAAAATTCAATATCCTGGCGTTGCGCAAAGCATCGAAAGTGATATTGATAATTTAGTAGGCATGCTCAAAGTATGGGATGTCTTTCCGCACGGCTTCTTTATTGACAATGTGGTCAAGGTGGCCAAACGTGAACTAAATTGGGAAGTAGATTATACACGTGAAGCTGAATATACAGATCAATTTAAGCAGATGATTGCACCTTATCACGAGTACTATGTACCGAAGGTCATTAAAGAATTGACCACAAGCAGCGTACTGACTACAGAATTAGTGCCAGGTGTACCATTGGACAAGTGCTTCGATTTAAGCTATGAGCATCGCCATCAAATTGCTTCGTCTATACTCAAGTTGTGCTTGCGTGAGCTGTTCGAGTTGGAATGCATGCAAACCGATCCGAATTGGTCGAATTTCCTTTATGATGTTGATACCAAGAGACTAATGTTAATTGATTTTGGTTCAACGCGTTTTTATCAAAAGCAATTCATACGTAATTATCGGCAGGTAATAATGCACGCTGCAGAGAATAATCGTGAAGGTGTCTTGCGCATGTCACGCGAAATGGGTTTTCTCACAGGTTATGAAACCAAGCAAATGGAAGAGGCGCATGTGGATGCTGTTATGATACTTGGCGAAATATTTCGCTTTGATGGTGATTTTGATTCCGGCCGGCAGAACACCACCGAACGCATTGCACATTTAGTACCCACAATGGTCGCACATCGCCTTTGTCCACCGCCAGAGGAAATCTATTCCATACATCGCAAATTATCTGGTATATTTTTGCTGTGCTCACGCCTAAATGTACGACTTAATTGTCGGCCGTACTATGATGAAATTGTTATTCAGAAGTTCAAGGAGTAATATTGGAAAGGCACAAACTGTTAGGTATATATACAGGAAGAAATGTTTACTTTAGAAAAATGCATATAAAAATATATTTTATATGCACTTATGTATTTCAATATATAGATATACATACGTTGCCTTTATAATACGATCGCCTTGCTGTTTTTTTTAATCACTTCAAAGGTGCGCAAAAAGACTGAAAGCGATTGGCGATTTCTGTTCGTGGTCCAAGCATACTAACCCATTCTTTTGTAGAATGGCCTTTAGTATCTTCCAAATTTTCTATCGATTCAATCATTTCCGCGTCTTCCATTTCACCTTCAGCAGCTTTCTCCAAGTAAGTCGATTAAGTCCCTCGATGTTGGTGTTATTTGCCGAAAAATAACACCAGCAGAAACTATGCCCAGCAACATCCTGTAATTAAGAAAAAATTACATTCAAACATAGCTATATAATACGATATTTTACGCATACTCACCTAACCTTAAGATTACACAACCGCTGCGTGCCAGAAAAATATAATTGAAATGAGATATGAATTCGCCGTGTATGTATACGGATTTCCATTGAATTCATTCTGCATTTTGTTTTTTTTTTCAATGAAGAAATATCATTTCACCTTGTATGTATGTATGCGGTTTTCCATTGTATAAATTCGCCTTGAATGGTTTCTGACAATTGTACCAATGTACATACATGCATTCCACAAAGTGAACGTAGTATGTCGGTCAGCGTTCGGAACTTACTGCAATGGCAGTAGATCTACTACACTTCTTAGCGAAATTGAATTTTCTACTGCGGCTTTCAACTCTTGAATTTTTTACCACCACTTGAATTATGACAATATATTTCGAGTCAGTAAAGATGTTTCTGCAACAAAGCATATAGTACCGTAAATATATTTTATTGTTGGGATAAAAATGTAAAAAAAAAAGATGCATTGTCATAAGCCCATATCAATGCACTAACCTTTTATAAATATTTCACATATTTTTATGTAAAATTCAAAATGGAATAAGACATTTTGTAATAAAATTTGAAATTAAACTTATGTATTCTGCTGCATATGAGCTACCCTGTTTTTAGACGAGTATCGCCTACAGTGGCATCCAAACCTTTTTTTTTTGGGTGGCAGACTAGTTGTAGGGTTGCGAGAATGGCTAAAAACTCTCCAAATGTAGAGTAATACGTTTTCGACAACTTCATGCAACGAAGTTGAACTCTAATTACGAATATTAGTAGATCAAGTCATCAACGGAAATGATCTTTTTCACTTAATATTGGCACTTCCAAACATCATAAAGGCAATTTACAATTTTCGATGTAATAAAAATTTAACTTTGCCAAGGCATTCCTGCTCAATGGAATGTATGGCATTTGTGCGATCCACTTTTCATTTCTTTGTGGGTCGAAATCTTGCCTTATACATAATTTATACGAGTCAGTTTGCGCCGTACGAATGATAAACCCATTTACACAAACCAAACTGTTCTTATGCATCAGTGAAATAGTTATGCCCTTAATGTAATTAGCCAATGTCGATACACTCGCCACCCAACAACTCATATCAAGCGTAAAACTCGAACCAACGTAAAGTATCGACACAATTTCAGAGGAAACGATGTCTCAATTTGCCGCAATGAGGAAAAGGGCCGAACAGCGCGCCCATCGCTATCCGCAACCATGTCGCCTATGCGACGCAAATCATCCGATCAGGCTTTGCCCTTTGTATCGTGCGAAGTCGCCAGAGGAAAGATTGCGTGAGGCCTTACTAGGACGCTACTGCGCTAATTGCCTCGCGATGAATCACGAATTAAAAGACTGCGTGAGCGAAAAGCACCACTCGACACTACATTTCGAGGATGAACCCAGCACATCGAAAAAGTCATGGGCCCAACAGGTGGAGGAGGAAGAAGAAAATTCCGATGGTGTAATCTCGCTACTTGCGTCCGATTCTGGAACGGAAACGCGGCCTTTCCGTCCAGATACCGAAGAATGTGCACTTTCAGGCGATGTAGCGGAGACTCGGCCTCTCGACCCCTATTGCAGCACGAGCGGAACCGGTTACGTGGAGCGGAAACCAGGCCTTTCCGCCTGCGTAATCCCAGACGCAAGTCCTCTCGACGCACACAAAAGGAAGGTAGACTGGCGACTCGGCCTCACCAGCTATCGAAACGACGTACGTTCCGAAACGGAATCTTGGGTCACCATACCATAGCTGCGCCAACACTTCAACCAATGATCGCTATCGCTCCGACTGCAGTCGTTAAAGTAGAAGCTGGAGGGCGCCTACATTTGATCCGCGCGCTTGTCGACGTATGTTCCCCTCGAACTATAATATCACTTGACTTAGCCCGAGAGTTGCGCCTGGACGAGACGCGCGTTAGCGGAGAAAGAGGTTGTCTGTTATGCTTACGGGGAAAATATGGGCAAAATAAACGGGTAGCAACTCACGCTATTGCGCTACCCAATTTTAGCAGAATAAGCCCATCTAGCAATGTGGATGCCTCAGTGGCTGAGCCGTACGCGCATATACGCTTAGCGGACCCTCGCTTTTATGCGTCCGCACCGATACGCGTGATCCTGGGAACCGACGTTTACGCAGATATTTTATTACCTGGGACACTGCCCACAACATTTGGACCACTGCTCGCCCAAAGCACCATATTTGGTTGGGTGCTGTCCGGGGTCTCTAGAGCGTAACTTTCCTTTTTTTACATACATACATTACATCTAAATTATCATACTCTAAAGTGAAATAAAATAATGAATTTAAATAAAGTGCATTTGAAAAAGTAACCACGTACATTTCCTTAATTACCACTTATATTTACATCTGCAGTAGCACTCCATAAAGGAAGGACGAACTCTACCTTAATGAATGCCGACGCTGCTGCCTGATTTGATCATTAACATCAAGACATAGAAAACATTTGTTTGTAAAAACCATGTGCGCTTGGTAGCTGAAACGCGGCCGATATTTAGATGTTGCTTACCGCAAGGGGACGGGATGTTTAGGCCTTAAGCCTAAATATTTCCAAATATAATGCACC